AATAGCCAGCTCCAGAGCTGACATAAGTTCCTGCTGGTCACCCTGTGCTAGATAGCTAAGACACCTGCCCCTCCTGTCCCATGGGTGCTGGACTGGACAGAGGGTGGGAGGACACCCCTGAAGGCCCAGGTAGGTGATGTCCACTCACCGCCCAGTAGAATGGCCAGCAGGAGAGAGCACAGGGCAGGGCTGGAGGGCTGGTGGTCACGGGTCATGGTCACGAGTGGGTTCTGGGCCTTCATCCCTCTGCCCACAGGCCTTTCTTATAACTCAAGGTGGGCGGTCCTTAGAGTCTGCTTGTGGCAAGGCCAGCGGGCCCCACTTCCCCTTTCCACCTCAGGGGGCAAGGATGACCCAAGAGCTGAGGGGGGGAGTGCACTGAAGAGAGGAGGGGGGCACTCTGGGCTCGGAGTCTCAGGTGTCCATGGATCCTAAGGAGCTGAAGCCTGCCCACCTGGGGGGTTTCTGGACAGCGGCAGCGTGACCACAGACCCAGAGTGCCCAGTGCCCCACAGAGACCCACACACACGTCAGAGAGGTACCTGTGGTCACCACAAAGCCTTTCCTGGCTGAGGGTCCAGTAAGTGCACCTGGACAGTGGCAGCAATCAAGACAGCTGGGGGCAGGGCACAGAGCCCGCGCGCCACCTCAGCCCCCCCATGGGGATCCCACAGAACAGACTCCGGACCCGCTGGAGTCTGGGGGTTGCTGACTCCTTCTCACGGGGGGGGGGGTGGCGGTGGTGGGGAGGGATAGCACTAGTCTGTCTCCAGGGGGCAGTGGGTGACATCTGGAACCTTTGTGGCTGTTAACAGCTGGGGAGGGGGTGCAACTGGTATAGAGGGTGTGGAGGTCAGGCGGGAAGTCAGCACACATGGCGCCCAGGACCCCCAGCCTGAGGAGGTTCCAGAGAAGCCGGCCAGCCACAGGAGGTGGACGTACTAAAGGAGGTGGCACTTCTTTGTAGCTGTCCAGTCAATTCTGAGTCACGGAACCAGCCAACTTTCCCTGCAAAAGCTTGCAACTGATCATGCAACAGGGAACACAGTGGGGGCCGCGGGGTGGGAGGGGGACACCTGGGTTTGTTTGTTTTTTCCAACTTTCAGTTGAAATGAAATTATTTCCCGCTTACAATAGTCTGAAGAATTCTTGGGGTCCTTCCCCTCCCCACTTCCCCCGCCCCAACCCTGTTGCTGAGTGCTGTCGAGTGGGTGCCCACTGGGGTGAGTCCGTGGACCAGGGCAGACATGATCCCTGGGTCATGATGAGGGAGCAGCCTACTGGACCTGTCTCCCTCCGAGCGGCAGTGAGCTGCAACTGCCGGACCTGCCAGCTGAGTCCCCCTCTCTTCCCCTTACCCCAGGCCCCTAAGTGGGGGCCAGAGATGGAAGCCAGGGCATGAAGGCTGACACACGGAGCCCCTCCTGTCCTTCTCTGCTCAGGACCAGCCCTTGGCCTTTCTCTTGGGGCCTGGACACCTTTGAAGGTGGCCGGTGAGCGAGGCTGTGTCTGTGGAGGGAGTGTGTTTTGACGTGGACATTTTACTTTATTGGGGTGGATGCAGGCAGGGTGACACCCCCTTTCTAGACACTCGGGCCAGTGACACAGAGACATTCTTCACACGGTGGCTGCGTCCTCCTTTGTCCTGGTCAGGTCACTCCTGTTGGCTCAGGGCCCCCCACACACACCGCCCCTTCCCCTGGCGTCAGAACCGCAGGGGACCGCTCGGCTTCTCTGCAGGACCTTTGCTCATGTTTTCAGCGGTGACCATCTTCCTTGGAGTTTGGCCGGTGGGGACAGCTAGGCAGGTGGACCTGGGGCTGGGAGCCTGGCAGGGCTGTGATGGGGTCCCTGGAGCCCCATGGCGGGGGGGGGGGGTGGGGGAGGGTCGGGCTGGCGTTGGAGGGGAAGCAGGACTGGAAGCTGTGGCTTCCTGCTCCAACCGTGAGTGTCCCAAGTGGTAACGGCTGGGGGGACCTGGCCCACGCTGGCCCGTGCTGGCCACCAGCCCCAGCAGGAGAGAGCAAGGGGCTCCCAAGGGCCTTGTCGCTGCCTCCCCGCTCTGTCTCGCTCCATCATCCTCAGGTCTTGATTGTTTTGTCTCTGTCTCTCTCCATCTCTGTCAATCTCCTTATCTCTCTCTCTCCCCATCTCTTTCTGCCTCCCTGTCGCCATCTCTCTCTCGGTCTCCTCATCTCTCCAGCTCTCTGCCTGTCTCTTTCCAATTCTGTCTCCCCTCTCTCTCTGTCTTTCTCCACCTCTGCTTCTTTCTCTGTGTCTCCTTGTCTCTCTAACGCTCTCTGCTCCCCTGGTCTCTGTCTCTTTGTCTCTCTCCATCTCTGTATCTCTTTCTCGCTCTTTCTCCTTGCCTCTCGCTCGATGTCTCTATTTCCTCCTCTCTCTGTCTCCTCTTGTCTCTCTCCACCTCTTAGCCTCTCTCTGTCTCTGCCCACCTCTCTTGGTCTCTCCTTCTGTCTCTCTCTCTGTGCATCTCTGGCTCTCTCCTCTCCAACAAAGCAGACAGGACAACCCCCATCGCTGGCCTCCCTGTGGGGACTCTCCGGCCCACAGAGTCCGTCACCGGGCCCACTCCCACCCGAGCCCCGCCCAGGGCCCCCAGACACCCATGTGCACCCGCAGCCCTCATGACAGCAGATGACAGTGAGCTGGAGACAGGCCGTCTGGGGGTTCAGGGAACCAGGGGGAGGGGTAGATTTGGGGTGGGCATGGACACAAGGCGTTTTAGGGCAGGGTAGCCATCCCACAAGACACGGAGTGCCCGTCCAAACCCACAGCCTGGGCAAGACTGAATCCCATCCTGGCAACCGCACGTCTTGGTTGGTAACAATGTAGCGCTGTCAGTAAACACACCCACCAATCCCAGGAGGAGGAGCGAGCAGGGGGCGGGGCCAGGAGCCCAGTTTTCCTCGCAGTGCTTCTCTGTGACTGCTCAGAATGGTCCTAGATACTGCCCCAGGCGACCACCTTCCCAGCCGCCCAGGTGGTCTGAGTCCCCCTGTGTCCCCCCTTCAGAGAGCAGCCGAGTGCCACACCGCAGGGCCACCAGCTAAGCGCCTTCCGCGTTGTTGTGGGAGAAAGTCCCAGAATTAGGGAGGGGCAGGGGGGCTGCCCGTAACGTGAATGGAGCAAAGTAGTGAGTGTCATTTTGAAAATCAGAATAATTATATTTTGTCACAATAATAGCAAGTCTTAAAAACACATTGGGGGTCTGGGACTGGGACACAAACCTACAAGGGTGTGACCTTGGCAGACCTGGCCATGAGACCAGGTGGTCTGGGTGCCCCTGTGTCAGGTGCGGCCATGAGACCAGGTGGTCTGGGTCCCCCTGTGTCAGGTGCGGCCATGAGACC